ATTTTTTTAAAAAAAGAAAGAGATTGAATAAGACCTTAAGAGATGGAAAGATCTCCCATGTTCTTGGACAGAAAGAATTAATATTGTCAAAATAGCCATACTACCAAAAGCATTATACAGATTTAATCCAATTTCAATTAAAATCCCAACAACATTCCTCATAGAAATAGAAAAGGCAGTCATGAAATTCATTTGGAGAAATACAAGACCCAGAATAGCCAAAGCAATTCCTAGATAGAACATCTTTACTATAATAACCTTAAACTATACTACAGAACTATGGTAACAAAAATGGCATGGTAATGGCACCAAGATAGACATGTAGACCAATGGTACAGAACAGAAGACACAGAGACAAACGCATATAAATACAGTTATCTTATGCTAGGCAAAGGTTTTAAAAACATACATTGGTGAAAAGGTAGCCTCTTCAAAAATTGGTGCTACGAAAACTGGAAATCCACATGCAGCAAAATGAAATTAAAACATTATCTCTCACCATGTGAAAAACTCAATTCAAAGTGAATCAAGAACCTATAAATTAGACCAGAGGCCCTGCACCTCACAGATGAAAAACTAGGCCTGTGGGATGCCACGCATGAAGCTACTTGAGTGGTCTTTTACTCAGCACTGATCCAAGGGAGACTTAGGTCTCTCTGTGTGAACAATCCCAGCATTCCTGTGTGTACCAGACTGCCCAAAGCAAGATATCTCTACTCCCACTCTACTAACGGGACAGCTCTCATAGCTCCAGAGTTGGGCATAACCTATTGGGAACTGGACAGCTCACCCCCTACCTTATTTGGCAAAGGACAGTCCATGGAAAATCTTTAATGTTTCCCCCATAAAAATAAAGCAAATGCAGACTCTATCTCTCTCTCTCTTTCAAGTGTACAAGCTTGATTCTTAAGATCAGAAATCTGTCCTACCCCCACTTTCTACAATTACTTCTCATGTGCTGGGTGGATTTTTTAACCTTCTTTTTCTTAGCTTTTATTCTGTAGCCAGCCTACGCCACAGAGAGGAACCTCAATTCCACCACCTGAACAGGATATAGATGAGATAGGCCCAAATGTTCATCATGTCACATTAGGTCCTGATTTCCTTAACCAGACTCTTAAAGCACAAGAAATTAAAAAAAAAATAAGAATTAATAAATGGAATGAATTTAAACTAAAAACTTCTTCTTAGCAAAGGAAAAAATAATGTAAAGAGAGTGCCCACAGAGTGGGAGAACATCTTTACTACATGCTTATCAGATACAGCACTAATATAAAGAACTTAAAAAATTTACCCCCTCTAACTACATAACCCCAACAATCAATGGGTCAAGGAACTTAATAGAGACTTCTCAGAAGATATACAATTGATCAACAAATATATGAAAAAAATATTCAACTTCTCTAGTAATTAGAGAAATGCAAATCAAAATTACTCTGAGATTTCATCTCACTCCAGTCAGAATGGCAATTATCAAAAATATAAACAATAATACATGTTGGCAAGGATGTGGAGAAAAACGTATATTCATACATTACAGGTGGGACTGTAAAATGGTGCAACCATTCAGGAAAGCAGTATGCAGATTCCTCAGAAAACTGAGAATGGAACCACCATTTGATCCAGCTATCCCACTCCTTATATACAAAAGGACTTAAAATCAGCATACTATAGTGACACAGCCACATCAATATTTATAGTAGCTCAATTCACAATAGCTAAAGCTATGGAACCAACCTAGATATCCCTCAACAGATGAAGGGATAAAAAAAAACCCTGGTATATATACACAATGGAATATCATTCAGCATTAAATGAGAATAAAATTGTGGCATTTGCAGGTAAATGGAGTTGGAGAATATCATGCTAAGTGAAGTAAACCAATCCCCCCCCCAAAAAAAAAACAAATGCTAAATGTTTTTTTTTTTTCGTAAAAATATTTTTAATCAGCACATAATAATACATAATTGAAGAGTACAGAGTGATATTTTGATACATGCATATAATACATAATGATCATATCTGGGTAACTGATATATCTACCATCTTAAATATTTATACTTTTAAAATATTTATTTAAAATTCATACATGGTAATTGTATATATTTCTGGGGTAGAATATGACATTTCAATACTTGTATACAATGTTTAATGATCAGATTAGGGTAATTGATACATCCAACACTTCAGATACTTATTTCTTTGTGATGGTTTTTTCTGATAAGTGGATACTGATCCATAATTTGGGGGCTTGGGGTAAATGGAGGATCTTTGATTGGGCAAAGGGAAGGAGGGGAGTGGAGGGAGCATGAGGTCAGGAAAGATGGTGGAATGAGATGAAAATCATTACCCTATGTACATGTATGACTGCACATGTGGCCCAACTCTGCATAATGTACAACAGGGTAATAAAAATCTGTGTTCCATTTGCATAAATAAATTGAAATGCATTCTTCTATCATGTATAATTAATTCAAACAAATAAAAATAAATAAAATTTAAAAGAGTAATTACCTACAGCCCTGCCCAGCTTAAGTAAATAAAACATATTACATTCCTCAGCAAACAACATGTTATCTGTGGAAGAAACACAGCCTCACAAGGCTCCTCCCTGCCAGTAAGAACACAAGTGACCTGGGGTGGAGTGTGACACTTTCACAGACCAGATTCCAGAACTCAGGGAGATAGGGTAATTCTCCCTAAAACAAAATGTGTAACAAGTTCCAACTAGAACCAATCCATGTGGGTCAAAATGACCTGGGATCACCTTGGATGTTTAGTTCAACAGTAATAAAATCTCCTTTCCATGGGGACTTGAAAGTCTGATGCAATCCTGATGTCAGTCAGAAGTCAAGAGGAGAAGCTTGGTGGGACTCTTTTACCTGAGTGAGAGAAAGGGGAATTTGAGAAGAAAAATCTATAGGCTGGACCTACAATGAGGTCAGAAAAGATGGTGGAATGAGATGCTGCATCCCCACGACATGCTTTTTTAAAAAGATACGATTCACCTAAGGAATTCTGGGCCTGCTCTGGCTTAACAGAATATGATGCTACATTTCTACATGGTGCACCTGTTGTCTTCTAGTTGGTCTCTCAGAGCCAAGGAATGCATGTCCACAGACTGCTCTCAGTCAATAAGAACATCTTACCCTGAAAGAGGACATTGTGACCTTCATAATGACCAAAGAGTTCAAGATTTAGGCCAAGATGACAAATCATTGCATTTAGATCTTTAGCAGATTATTTTAATCTTTTAATAATACAAGTTTTTATTATAGTTAAATCTCCCTCCCCAAATGGATTTTGCTTGGGCAAAACCATATGCAGTAAGGATTTAAAACTCTGATGTAATCCTATTGTCAGTTAAAAGTTAGGCAGGAATATGAAAACCCCCATAATGCCCCAGGAATCTTGGGGGCAAAGGGAAAGTGAGAGAGATGTCTCATTTCCCTTGGCTCCCTCTTGATACAAGTTTGTTTCCTAATAAACTTTGCTATACTTCAACTACATTTTATGGCTCATTTGAAATACTCTCCTTCAAGACTTCAAGAGCTACAACACACAACACCAGATTCCTGGACCAACCAGCAACAATACCAATCGTGTTTATTTTATTTATTTATTTATTTTTAAATTTTGAGGCAGAATGTTGAGTCTGGCCTTGAACTTGAGATTCTTCTTAGTCAGCTTCCAAATACTTGAGTTTACAGGCATGTACCACCAAACCTGGTCCCTTGCCTATTTAAAAAAAATTATTTTCACAGTTGCTTCTTATCTCCCCCAAACTATAAAAATGTCCCAAATTCCAGTGCTGACATATGAATCTTACTATATGATATAATGGAATGGGAGAAGATTCCTGAGAGAGAGGGAGAGAGGGAGGGAGGGAGGAAGAAAGGAAAAGAGAGACATCAACTTAGAAAAAGTGGGGACAATGTTGTGCGTGGCAGAACAGAATTTCAGCACTTGTCAATCAGAGACATGGAAAGATTTATTTAGGAAAGCAGGTCCATATTCAAGGACAAATGTGGGACATCTCTAAGGGAGATACAAAAAAAAACATTCATCTGGGATGTTATTTATAGATGCACATTAGGTTAGGAATGATGTAGAGCTGGAATCAGAGCAGAGTTGTGTGATTTCACACCAGACATTTCAGGTTGCTCATTGTCTGGGTGTCATGTTAGTATTTTGTGAGCAAGAATGGTGGAATAGGAGGAATCCTGGATTGCTTAGGAATTGCTTGTTTTTAATGTCAAATAATGGCCATGGGCATTTCCTGAATTCTAGTGGTTAATGAGCCTTCTACTTTGAGACTCAGTAGAACTTCTTTTTATCCCACATTACTATCTTATCCAGACATAGTCCTCACTTCCTTATGGCCACCAAGTGTTGCTAGAGTATCAATCAGATCATCATTTTATTAGTAAAACAAACATCAGAGTGGCTTCAAGGTGGAAGTCTTAAGAAAATTCTAATTATTAGATATATATTTATTACTTATTTATTTTGCTGAGTACTCACAAGATTTTAGAAGTGGCCCACAATCCAATGGATCAGCATCATGTCTCCTGGAAAACTGAATTCCAGACTCAGAACCAAGGATTAGGGTCCCACTCAGTGTTTCTTAATGAAGCCTGCTTGTGCTAAAGCCTGAGACGAGGGGTTCACACAATGACTTTGTTATCAGTGGTACAAACACCTCACCTGTGTATATTTTAGAAATACAAAACCCCAGGCTACATGCCAAAACTATTATTTCAGAAGCCAACACTAACATGGTTTCTTCAGAATCGAAATCTGAGAACACTTGACTATATCACCACATCTGCATGATACAATGAGGACCTCTTCAGTGAGCTTAGAAATGTAATACTTTTGAGAGAGAGAGAGAGAGAATTTTTTTAATTTTTTTTTTTTTAGTTTTCGGCGGACACAACATCTTTGTTTGTATGTGGTGCTGAGGATCAAACCCCGGCCACACACATGCCAGGCGAGCGCGCTACCACTTGAGCCACATCCCCAGCCCAGAAGTGTAATACTCTTGTTGGAGAAGTGCTGAAATTATCTTAAAGAAATTATACTGAGTCTCAAAGTAGACTCGTTGGGCCCAGAACACCCAAGCTGTTTAACAAACTGCACGGTGATGGCACAGCTGAGTTCAGAGGGGTGAAAAGAAGTGTCTGCAGGGAAGACTCCAGCAGAAACACTCATTCCAGCTGGGCCCCAGGATCAGGTAGGTTGGGAAGGTTTCAGGAACTGGAGAGACTTCTGCAAATGGCAGAATAGAAGCAGGAACTGGGTGGCTGATGCAAGCATGCAGCTGTAGATGTGTGGGCTGTGCTCCCTGGGGTCAGGGGTATTGGAGCTGCTCTCTTCCTGTGGGGAAGGAACATGTGCAGAGTCAGGGTATGAGGGAGGTAGACCACAAGCCTGCACAGGCCAGTAACTCCTTGGCTCCCACTTTCCTTCCAAAATTCCCTGAGATTATCTTGCAGTTAACTGTATTTTATTTAGAGACAGGGTCTCACTGAGTTGCTTAGTGCTGTGCCATTGCTGAGGCTGGCTTTGAACTTGTGATCCTCCTGTCAGCCTCCCATCCCACTGGGATTACAGGCGTGCACCACCATGTCCAGCTTCATGTATTTTTATTGGCTCTGAGAAAACCACTATCCACATTCATTTATCCAGCCTCAGGATGCTGTACAAGTCATGCATATGCTCAAATAAGAGTGCTCACACTTCACACTTAATAGTGTTGAGTACAGACCCAGAGAGTAGAACCATTCACATTGGAGTGACATTTGGGATAGCAACCTGCAGATTTCCACAAACACCTAAAGTCCTCTGCTCTCCCTACTGAGCTATGTAAGGCTAATGTAAAACTCCCTTAAAATCATTTAAGCTGGGCACAATGGCACACACCTGCAGTCCCAGTGGCTCTGGAGGCTGAGGCAGAAGGATCCTGAATTCAAAACAAGCCTCAGCAACTTACCAGGTCCCTGAGCAACTCAACAAAACTGTGTCTAAATAAAATAAAACATAAGAATGAGCTGGAGATGCAGCTCTGCGGTTAAGCACATCTTGGTTTAATACTCAATCCCCCCCCCCCCAAAGAAACATTTAAATATTTAGTTGATGGTTTTACTTTGACTATAATCCATTTCATTTTGACAACAGGCAAACATGAGGTAGTTGTTAAGGGTATTAGATATATTCTAAAATTCATTGGGTTTGTGGTCACTCAGGTGTACTTAAAAAAAAAAAAAAAAACTTTTCCTGAAGATTTAAGGTCTGTGTGGGTAGTTTTTTTGTTTGTTTTTTAAGGCACAGTGACACATCCAGTGACTCAGGAGGCTGAGACAGAAGAAGTGCAATTCTGAGGCCAGCCTCAGCAACTTAGCAAGACTCTTTCTCAAAAAAAAAAAAAAAAAAGAAAGAAAGAAAAGAAAAAAGAAAAAAACCCTGAAGAGTAAATATATTGCTCAGTGGTATAATAGCACTGGATCCAATTCCCAATAGTAAAAAATAAAGTGCTTTTTATTGTAATACTGTTTCACACATAGGTCTTAAAAATTACCACTAATATTCTCTGTCACCCTAGGTAAAATAGAGATAGGTTAATCACACTTATTGCACTTGACCTCCTGTCCCACCTGTTTAGCAGTCTCCCTTTTCTATTCAAGGTGAATGATTATAAGATTCTCACAGATAACTGGGCTCAAAACTTACCATATTGAAACAGTTATTTTCTGGTTCATTTGGGAAACTGAATCTCCTTCATGAAAACAAGGAAAATTAAGGGGAGATGTAAATATAATGTGCTAGTGAGTGTGTGTGTTTTAGGAAGTTAGTGGCTCATGTTATACTACACAATTATAGTGGGGCAAGTAAATGAAACACACCACATGCATCTCAATTTTTAAAAAGGAATGTGAACTTCCCATGTCAACCATACTGTGGTGACTTGCTGATGAATGGGCACATATGCCATGGTGCCTAGGAGAGGAACACATGCCAATGGAAGAAAGAGGAAGCCATCTGCAGTGACTGATCTTTTGTATAAAATGTATGAACTTGATTCATGGGTCCCACTCTGGTTATGGGTTGAAAACAAAAGATGGGTTCATAAACAATTTCATGGAAAAAATAAGTTCTGGATTTGTATGGTCCAATTGCACAGTTGGGTGACTATATTAATGTGTAGTGCATTCAAAGATGAGAAGAAATACTCAATGTTTTCCCCATAATGATGCAAAATATTTGAGGAAAAAGTTTTGTGAATTACTAATTGTATTATATAATAATACATGTATTGAAACTTCCCTTGAACCTGTTACATTTCTTACCTGTAAATTGAAAATTATTTTAAAATGCAGTAACATGGGCTGAGTTTGTAGATCAGTGGTAGAGTGCTTGCCCAGTGAGGCACTGGGTTCAAACCTTACCACCACATAACAATAAATAAATAAAACAAAGGCATTGTGTCCAACTACATCTATAAATACTTTTTTAAAAATTCAGTATCTCCCAAGTCACTCCCAATTTCAGTTTAACTTGCCTTAGGAACCCTTTAAATGACTTGTCAGAACCAAAGCAGTCTTTTATGTGAGATGAAATAGGGTGTAGACAAGCAGAAAAGATACAGCCATAAACCTGGTATGAAGAATGGGTGGTGACTTGTGGCAGAATATGAAAACCAAGATCTCTCTCACACATACTGCTTCTGTTCCTTATGCGTAAAATTTATCATTCCCTTGAAGTACTTATAATCCCAATTAATTTAAATAAGACAAATTTTTGTGGGTGTTCCATTGACCCAAAGAGTAATACAACAATTTTTTTCCCCATTTTTGTGTTTAGCTTTTAATCGGGACTTGTATAGAACCTGCAGTGGCTCATCTGAATAGGGACTTTGTCTTTCTATATGTGGTGGCATGTGCTCCAGTCCTGTTAAACAGGGAAAATTTATGACAGATATGATTTGGAATATCTCAGAAAGACTATGTGCTAAATAAGTTTGGGGAGCCTGTGCCATTTACTATAATTCCTCTGATCCCAAAAGTATAATAACCATTGTAAATTATAGAGTAGAATAAAAGATAGCTAAAGTCAAAAGATATATCATATTATAAATTATTTTGAAGGTTTAAATGCTCCATGAGTATAGCTCTTTTTTTATCCTCATAATTGAACACTTGTTTCTGGTTAAATTTTCTACTGGTTGTCCAAAACCAAATAGGCATTTGATATTGGGCAAAAATATTTTTAAAAATTTTTTGACATGACTCAAGTCTCCTCAGTGGGTAATTATCTAGGGGCTTCATAAGGAAATGCTTGTATTCTTCAGTTTTTTGTTGTTTTCTATCAGACATGCCAGGAGCCAGAATGGGTCAGTGTTCAGCTGAACATGTTGCTTCCTGCGTAACTATTGGGAATCTCTCTGCAATGACCCTCCTTTTCACAAAATATGCACTGGTGGCTCTTGGTTTCGAAGGTAGTCAAAATCCCTGTGTTGAGAAATTGAGAAGTTGTGTTGCTCTCTCAAATTGCAAGGCCCTTAGGAGTAAAGTCATTCTATAGGGAAAAAAAATGGACGGGGGAGTACAAGGGATTGAATTCAGGAGTGCTTAAACACTGGACCACATCCCCAGTGCTTTTTATCTTGAGACAGGGTCTAAGTTGTGTGGGGCCTCATTAATTTGTGGAGGCTGACTTTGAACTTGGGATCCTCCTGCCTCTGCCTCTTAAGTTGTTAGAATTAAAGTAATGTACCACCATGTCCAGAACTTACACAGTAAAATTTTAAAGTACTAATTCAATATAGTAAAATCTGGTGTTTATTTTCATGTACTTATATGTTATCTATAATTGTTTTAATGTCTCCTTAATGATAAAGAGGTGGATAAAGGTCTGATTTATGGGAACACTATTTTCTAAGTGAGTTGATGTTTCTAAAAAGTTAATGGTGGTATTTTACTATGTTTTTACTATCTGCTATGTAGAACCCTTAGTAAAGAGACACTGTGATACCAGTGAGATAGTATCATGATTCAACACATAACACTGTTAACACATTAACATATTGTATACAAAATATTAATCAGGTATTTCAAATACACCACAAACTCTCAAAAATATAGATTAACAACTCTCAGGAACAGGTTTTCTTCTCATGAAATGATCTATGTTAGAACTATTTTTTTCTCCAATTTTCAAAAGTGAGGTACTGAGTATTCTTTGATTTTTAATAAATTCCTATCTGTCCAGAGACAAGTTTTCTACACAATTCTATGATATTTATGAGAATTTCTTTGTTTGCCACATCAGCTAAGGATTTTAATAAACTTTAAGCAAAAGTTAAAGGCAATTCCTCATTTCTTACATACTTAATAAAATGGAATACAGAAGAGGGCTTTCCTATGTTTTTTATATTTCTAGCATGATTTCTTCCTTATAGATATTTTGCTATTATTTAAGGCATGTATTTCAGGGAGATGTCTTTCTACCTTCCCTATAGGTATCTGGTTTCTAATGTTAAATTTGAAATTTGAGTAAAGACTTGGGCACAGTATTCACATTGTTTAGGGGTTTTATGCACTATGAATTCTCCAGTGATTAGTAATGTTTGATCAATTGCTAAAAGGTCTGCAACAGAATGTACATTTGTATTACCTCTCCCAGTTATGAATTCTCTGGTATTGAGTACAGTGTGGTTTTTGATTAAAAGCTTTGCCACATTCTTCACATTTGTAGCAATACTTTCAAGTATGAATTCCCTGGTGTTGAAGAAGGCATGCTCTTTGAGTAAAACCTTTGCCACTTGCTTCACAATTGTAGGGCTTCTTTCCAGTATGAATTATCTGGTGTTGAGTAAGGTGTGCTCTCCTAGTAAAACATTTCCCACATTCTTCACATTCATAGGGCTTCTCTCCACTATGAATTTTCTGGTGTCGAATAATGTACTGTCTATGAGAGTAACCTTTGCCACATTCTTCACATTTGTAGGGTTTCTCTCCACTATGAATTATCTGGTGTTGAGTAAGGTGTGCTCTCATAGTAAAACATTTCCCACATTCTTCACATTTGTAGGGCTTCTCTCCAGTATGAATTATCTGGTGTTGAGTAAGGTGTGCTCTCATAATAAAACATTTCCCACATTCTTCACATTTGTAGGGCTTCTCTCCAGTATGCATCCTCTGGTGTTGAGCAAGATAATATCTATGAGTAAAGCATTTGCCACATACATCACATTTGTAGGGCTCAGTATGAATTTTCTGGTGTTGAGTAAGCCATGCTCTTAGATTAAAGCCTTTCCCACATTCATTACATTTGTAGAGCTCCTCTCCACTGTGAACTCTCTGGTGTAGAATAAGCTTTGCTCTTTGAATAAAACCTTTGCCACATGTTTCACAACTGTAGGGCTTCTCTCCACTATGAATTCTCTTGTGTATTGTAAGCTGATCTCTTTTATTAAAAGCTTTGCCACACTCATTACATTGGTAGGACTTCTCTCCAGTATGAATCCTCTGGTGTTGAGGAAGGTAATTTCTTTTAGTAAAACATTTGCCACATACATCACATTTGTAGGGCTTTATTCCAGTATGAATTCTCTGGTGTTGAGGAAGGCTTCCTCTATGAGTAAAACCTTTCCCACATTCTTCACATTTGAAGGGCTTCTCTCCTGTATGAATTCGCTGGTGTTCAGTAAAGCTTCCTTTATGAGTAAAGCCTTTCCCACATTCATTACATTTGTAGAGCTTCTCTATACTGTGAATTTTCTGGTGTTGAGCAAGGTAACATCTTTGAGCAAAACCTTTTCCACATGTTTCACAATTGTAGGGCTTCTCTCTCCTATGAATTCTCTGGTGTTGATTAAGGCATGATCTTTGAGTAAAACCTTTGCCACATGTTTCACAACTATAGGGTCTCTCTCCACTATGAATTCTATGGTGCATTGTAAGTTGATCTCTTTTATTAAAAGCTTTGCCACACTCATTACATTTGTAGGGCTTCTCTCCAGTATGAATCCTATGGTGATGAGTAAGATAACTTCTTTTAGTAAAACATTTGCCACATACATCACATTTGTAGGGCTTCTCTCCAGTATGAATCCTCTGGTGTTGAGTAAGGCTTCCTCTCTGAGTAAAAGCTTTCCCACATTCTTCACATTTGTAGGGCTTCTCTCCTGTATGAACTCGCTGGTGTTGAGTAAGACTTCCTTTCTGAGTAAAACCTTTGCCACATTCTTTACATTTGTAGAGCTCCTCTCCAGTATGAATTGTATGGTGTTGATTAAGCTGTGAACTTTTATTAAAACCTTTGCCACATTCTTCACATTTGTAGGGATGCTTTCTAGTATGAATTCTCTGGTGTTTGGTAAGAGTAGAAACCTGGTTAGAGGTGTTGCTTGTTTCATTATGTGTGTTCCATACTTTCCAGAACTCTGTATCTGAATTTTGATTAAGTAGTAATGAGTACACAGGGGCCTTCCCACAACAATTAAAAGTGTGTGTTTGGGCACAAGAAGGAATTTTTTGTTCATTGCTGAACAATGGACAGTTTTTAAAGAAACTTTCTAAATGATCATTTTTAGAAATTTGTCCTTCAGTTATATATGGAATACTTTTCTGAGGTATTAAATGTTCTTCAGGTCTGCTGACAGTAAAATTTTCATTATGGACATGCACTACTGATTTGTCTTGTCCTTTATAATAGGATTTCCAATCTTCATTCTCACCTACACTGTCCTGTACTTTCTTTTGTTGTAAATAGTCAAGGTCACAATTTCTATATCTTCTCTTTATCACTTTTTTTAAAAAAAGTTTTATGCAAGACTCAGGTGAAATTTTCTGGGTATAATGAGAGTTCATGGCTGAAAGAATAAAAATAGGAATTATTTTACATATTAGACTGGGAATATACTTAACAAATACAACATGAAATTATAGGTAGTCAGGACACCAGCAGGGTAGCAGAACAGTATATCATAGGCCAACTAGCCTCCATAAATATATAAACTAAATAACAATAGACAGACAAATTTTCTTTCTGAGAATTACCCAAACAAATTCACAATATCTATAATGAATATATTATTAACGAGGCAGTAGAGCAGAGGAAAGGAAAGTGTGTTACTTTTATCCACCAGGCCTTCCTCCTCCACAATATAGCACTGTGCACAAATCAACCTCAATTATACCTAATAGAAAATGTATAATGGGAACATTACCGGCTTTGAGGAGAACTGTCTGAAAATTACTTCCTGTCTATCAGGAAACAGACTTGAGTATAATAGATAGATTTCGGATGACAATAATACAGATATTCAACAGGGTTTAAGGGCTTATGGTCTCTAACGAGAAATAGGGATAAATCTTTTTAATGAGAAAAATAAACACACACACACACACAGCTAATATCAATATTACATGAATAAAATCACTAAATAACAATCAAGACAAATAACTTGGTTTTAAATTTTTATAATTTTGAATTATTTACTGATTTGTTTCATTGACAAATTAAATTTCATTTGCTAAGTATATTTTAAAATATAAATAAAATATAAAATATAAATAAATGATGAAATGACTAAATATACCTAATTAACAAGTACACTGTTTTAATGTAATTATCATTTTAGTGCTTAAAAAAATTGTATTCATTCTATTAGCATTCATCAAGAATAGAGTATATTAGCTGATGTGGTGGTACAGGCCTGTAATCCCCAATACTTGGGAGGCAGAGGAAGGAGGATCTCAAGTTCAAAGCCACATTCAGCAACTTAGCAATGCCATAAGTGACTTACTGAGATCCTGTATCAAAATTTAAAAAATTTAAAAAAGGGTTGGGCATATTGCTCAGTTGTTACGTACTTCTGTTTTCAATCTTTGGTTTGCTCCTTCCACAGAAAACAATATAGTACATTATACTCACCATGGGTATAATAGAACTCTTGACCTTTTTATATCCCTTACAATAATACTTTGCAGACATTGACCAACACTTCACAAAACACAGTACCTAGTAGCCATTTTACTCTCTGCAGTTCTGATTTCTACATGTGAATCAAATTACAGACACAAAATTATGTTTTGTGTCTGCCTTATTTCACATAATGCAAAGTACTGCATATCATCCCATGTTACTTTTAGTGACAAAATATCTCCTTTTTACTGTTAATTAATGGTGTATTAAAAACATTTTTTATTTATTAAACAAAAGATGGACACATATTGCACTGAGCATGGTACTTGAGATATGTCTTCAACATGCTGATTTAATCCCCTCTGGATACCTATTTATAATTTGCATTTCCAGATCTTGGGGTTATTCTACTTTTAATTTTTTTATGTGTGGTGCTTAGGATTAATCCCAAGGGTACTGTACCACTGAGCTACAACACAAGCCCTTTTAAAATTGTTTGAGACATAGTGTTAAAAATTTGCCATAACAGGCATTAAACAAAATCCACTTGCAAATCCTCTCCATTATCTAAGATTACAAGCATGTATCAGTGTGCTTACCTCTTTTTGAATTCATTAATAACTTCCATGTTTTTTTCCAAAATGATTAATAGTCTACCACTGGCTGTTTTTTATATGGACAAATCAAAAATACTATAGTACAAAAGAGATACTTGGCTTAACCAAAGAAACAAAACAAAACACTAGCAATTGAAAATGATAACTTCTCCACCAACATTTGGAAGTTTGGCTTCCTCCTTGAACTTTTTGGAACTCTCAACTGTGTCCTCTGATTCATGAATTTCTATCTACCTGAGAACATGGCTCAGGGCTCTCTCCTTTGCTCCAGAGCAAGGTGTGCAAATATGGTTTAGAGACAATAAGATGTGTTTATTGAAAAATAAAATGACTATTTTTGGGATTCTTCCTGTGACTACTGATGCCTCCATTCTTGTACTCTAAAGAAAAGAAATTGGACTTTAATGTGTAGGTCACATCATTTGGTATCACAAAATTACTGTAAGTACTACCAATCTAAAGAAAAGGGTATATAACACCTGAAGAAAGGGAGACATTAAGGACTAAAAGTAATGAAAGTAATATTTTCTTCTCTGGAAAAAAACCCTGCCCAATCCTTTTACTTGAAAGCAAAAATCTGAAACTCATTCAAGAAGAGCAGAAGCTCCCCAAAGATATTCTGCATGGGAAGGAATTAAAAATTCTGATTAATGATGAATTCTGAAGGGAAGCGCTGCTCACCCAGGAAGATCAGGTTTCTGTAGGTCTCTAACATTACATCTCTGTATAAATTCTGCTGAGCAGGCTCCAGGCATTTCCATTCCTCTTCAGAGAAATCAATGGCCACGTCCCTGAATGCCAATGATTCCTGAAATAAAGATAGGTAAATTGATAGAACATTGACCAAAATATTATTAACAGGGAGCTTTTAAGTTGAAAGAAGATAAAAATCAGAGTTAGTAGAAGTGGCTTTCAAGTAGGTGAGCAAATTTTAATTATTCAAGAAAATACTTTGTAACAGTGATATTCTCTACTCTATAATTCTGAAGAAAGAGTGTTGAGTCATACACACACACACACACACACACACACACACATATATATATGTACACACACATACACACACACATATATATTTATATGTCACCTTTATGAAGTAGAATGTAAAATTAAGGCATCAATACAGAAATATACACTTTAATTGCGACTCTAATATCATAAAACAATTTTTCTATTTCTAAGACAAAAAAGTTATAGGGAGTAAAAAAGATGATTCTCAAATTTTAAATCAAAACCATGAATCAGAGATTTATTAAAATGCAGACTCTTGTCCAGTAATTCTGGGATGAGACCTGGTTTTCTGAATATGTAGCAGTAATTCCAACCTGGTGATCCTAGTGCCAGTGGGCCAAGAAAAACTCCTGCATAACAATGAAGTAAACCAGTGTAGGGAAAAAAAAAAAACCTTGATGAACTGGAGTTCAAATATTTCAAAGGATTTATGTACTTTTCATGTCTTTTTTCAGAAACCCAAAAGAATGTGATAGCAGTAATGATATTCATTTTTATGACATTTTGTCAAACACCCAGTGAAAGACCTAATTTTTACTCAAGTTTATTTGACCTGTAATTCAGAAAAAAAGGAGAGCATTAAAGTCAATTTAAGGTCTGGAATTGTGGCTCAGTGTAGTGCGCTTGCCTAGCATGTGTGAGGCACTGGGTTTGATTCTCAGCAACACATATAAATAAATAAAATACAGATCCATTAACAACTAAAACAAATTCATTAAAAAGTCAATTTAAAGTGTGAATTTTTAGAAAAATTTCAGAGCAGGGTAGTGATTATAAATGAGAAGACTAATGGAAACATGTTAAGAAGAAACAAAAGCAGATTGATGAAATGATATTTAACTTATACATGTTGGAAGACATGTATAAATTATGGGTTTGTTTAGCCATCACAAGGCAAGGAGTTTGCTTTTTGGAAATCAGGAGGTGAAATTCCACCTATGCACACCCTGCCTTGGCTTGGACAGCCCTAGATTTAAACACAGCCACCCAAAGGTAGAGAGGAGGTAGGCGTAATCTGCTAAGCCCCAAAAAAGTTGTTTTTGCGATCTTCATCCCATGTTCCTGAAGAAGTTCATCTCACTGAATTCCTTTGGTGCACCTATCCATATAAACTACTGCTTGGACTCCATCTTTTGTTAGATCAAATCTCCATCACAGCTGAATCATTTTGCCATGCCCCTGCTTTTAGTAAATAAATTTTTTCTCATTTCTGTACTTTCTAATTAATTTTCCAGTCTGGCTCACCACCTGTGTTGGTTACCCATCCATCTGCAGTGCTGGTTGCAGCAGACTATATACGCCACATAGCACACATAGGAGCAGACTATATATGCACACATAAAAATGTTAACTTTATACATGGAAACAACAGACAATTTTTCATGCAAATAAGAATAAGTCATATCTTCCATTTGGTAAAACAAATCAATTTGGGAGGATGCTCTTTTAAAAGACACTATTGAGATACACACTTTTAACAATAGAGAATAAAATAAGAGCCACAGTTACTGGGTCTTTTATACTCCTTATTTTCTCCCTGTTATTCAAATTCATCTTGAGGTACACTTTATAATTTTCAGGCACTTGTTTCTTCATTGAAAATGCAAGGAGGTATGTCTGTAAGCTGAAGGCAGAATAAAATGAAAGCCTATAGGACTGTGGTCTGCTTCAGAACTTTCAGTAACAAAGCCAGTAACCCTGCTAAT